CAATCACCCATCACCACCAACCACCACCATCCACCACCACCTACCACCTACTACCATCACCACCTATCACCACCCATCACCACCCACCACCACCACCCATCACCACCATTCGTCACCACCACTTCCACCCACCACCCACCAAAGCCAGCACTAATCATATTCATTTGAAACCTACAAGATTTTTTTACATATATATATATATATTTTAATTAACAATAATCAACAACTACAACTCAAAAGTTTTATAACCTATGATACTTATGATTATTAATTGGTTGATATAGTGATATATATAGTTCATGGTGGTTGATTATGTTGTTAGGTTTTCAATTTGGTTTGTTTGGTTGATGATCAAACATATTCATTTGAAACCTACAAGATTTTTCATCTTCTTTTTTAATTAATAGTAATCAACAACTACAACTCAAAAGTTTTATAATCTATAATACTTATAATTATTAGTTGGTTGATATAGTGGTATATATAGTTCATGGAAGTTGATTATGTTGTTATGCTTGCTTTTCAATTTGGTTTGTTTTGTTGATGATCAAATATGGTGTATATGTTTCTATGCAGTATACAAAGTTTTTGAAGATTGAAAGGTAAATTAGTATTTAGTGTTTATTTTCCAGTTTATTATTTTCCTTTCATGTTTGAAGCTTTTAAAGCTTCTAACTTTCTCATTACGATCATATAAATTTTATGTATTTACATATGTGTTGTTTTAGGGTTGAATAATAATTCAAATTGAAAAGTTGATGTATGTAAGATAACTAATAACTAATTATTTAGTTCTAAATTTTCATATTTGATATTATATAAAGTATTAATTTTTATTTTTCTTTATATTTTTGCTTTTAGATTGACTATATGATTTTCTACTTTGTTTTTTGTTTAAATGCAATTGGTTAACATATCATTGACATTAGATGAATTGTTAAACTTTATGAATTAGTTTTGATGTGAATTAAAATATTTATTTTAAATCATATTAACTATGGAAGTGTATCTAATTAAATTCGTAAAATTTATTTTATTTTTACACCTGATAAGACAAATATATTATCTACAATAATATCTATATCTATATATGTCTATATCATTATCATTATATACTTATAAATGAAACATTTTTCCAAGCACCTCATGCATTTGAAACCCCCACACAAATTTCCAATCACCTCATACATTTGAAACCCCCACACATTTTCATCTTCAAAGTAATTAATAACACATCACACACTTTATATAATTGAAAATTTGAAGCTATGAATGGAACTATGGATGGTGAATTTAGAGCATGAGATGAAGGAACAATTGATTTTGCTCCTACGTATTTATAAATATGTTCCCAAATGAAAATTTGGCAAGAATGATGAAACAAAACCTGCTCCTACATGGTAATTAAATCTTTTATGTCATTCATTTCATACCTTCCACTCCTTTAGATTGCTCCTGTTGCATGGTAATTAAATATCTTTATACATTCATTTCATAAATGTCACTCCTTTAGTTTGTACAATTTCAAATACTCTAAACGGATTATGAATATATGGCAAGTGTTATAGGATAATATGGATTGGGGATGAACTAAAGCAAACATTATACCCTAGAAATGAATCCAAGTTATCTGATCATCGGTCGGTGAAGGCAATATTTTCTACAGGAGTTAAAGTCTCAAGATAGAATATCAAACCTTTGCATTTCAAATAGGTTTCCAGAACTATATTTGTTCCAATCTTACTAAAGAATGCAAGAACATGAGGTCTACCCACAATTCTTAAAGAATCTGAAACTCCAAGAATGAAAGAAGATTTAAAACCTTTAAAAATGAATGAGAAACTCGAGCATATAGATTTAATGGAGGAAATTCACAAGTTCTACAAAATCTAAAATGAAAAAAATGTGAAATTAGATGTCTTAAATTACCAAGCATTACAGGAAATAAGTAAGTTCTCTAATCCTTTTCACTAATTTTTAAAAAATGTGATTTAACATGTGTGAGGTTTACTTAAGAAACTAAATACATACGACCACAAATGCAAACCCATATTTAATCAATTATCGAATAATTACATTAGATAATAATGAGTACATAAACATTACATTTACAATTTTAAACTAACAATAATTTTGCATTATTTATTAGTATAAATTATTTGTAAATCGAAAAATATACATACTATTTAATCACATACAACCTTTATGTACAACCTATTCAGAATAGATTAAACCATATCAATTATAATGTAATAACTTTTTTTATTTGCATTATCTTAGCATCTTATTTGTTTTAAAATCATAACTTCTCGATTAACCATATGCTTAAAAAGAATGCTAACTATTTATTTTACCATAATATATATAACCATATTAAACTACATAATTATTTCACTGTGGAACGTGCGGGCATTCGTCTAG